AGGGAGCCCGATGCGGGACTCGATCCTGGGACTCCAGGATCATGACCTGAGCCGAAGGCAGTCGCTTAACCGACTGAGCCACCCAGGCGCCCCCACATGAACTTACTTAAACTGCTACGTGTGAGGTGGATACTATTGTCATCTTTGTAGAAAATGAGGAAACTGAGGCAGAGTTTAGAAACTTGCCCAAGGTCACACAGAGCAGAATCTGAGCCCAGGCACAGGACACTATACCTCTGAGGCCCAAGCAAGTTCTTGGGTGGGGTTGGGGGGGTGATGTGACACATTCCCAAGTGTGCCCCTCCTTCCCAGTTCTCCCTCCCAGGGCTCTGACTGCAAGCGACAGCTGGGGCCCATATGCAGTACGCAATTCCTCAGGTTCCTAATGCAGCCTCCCCATCCTGTTCACGCAGGAAATACCCTTCTGCACCAGTGGGTGGGCAGACCTGAGACACCCCCCTGCCCAGCTGCCAGGAACGTGCACACATACGTCTCCTCCCACACCAGACACCTCCCAAACAGGGACACAAACACACATGAACACAGGCTCTAAGAAGATACATCCCAACACACTGGCACACACACTTCAATACCTGTGTGCCCTAAGGAGTAAACGTACCCTCACGGCATACAACTATGAAGACCCAAGCATGTCCATACACAACCCCACCTATACACACATGCCCCCCAGTACATACACCAGGGCACAACTTTCCTGGTCCCTATAAACATATAAGCAAGCACTTGCACACACAAAACATAGCAACCCATACTCAGAAACACACACAACATATAATTACACCTATCCCAATTCACATTCTATCCCTCATACATGGGCACACACACCTCTGCTGATCCACAGGTCAAGGCACTTCAACAGATACCTCCCCTCGGGAACCAATAACTTGAGCCACGTGTTTATACATACTCCCACATCCCCGAGGGCCAAGAAGCCCCAGATGGCTGCTGGTCCCATAACTCACCACCCCCATAAATAAGGGCAACACACATGTCAACACAGATCGCTTAAGTCTGCCGCCCTCCCCCCTCCCCCCCGCCACCAGACACACACCCTAACTCCTAGGGACCACCCTCCCCCAATGAACTGTGCGTCACCCACACCCAGGCACGTGCAGAACCCCGCCTCCCCCACCCGGAGAGAATCCTTCTCTGACCCCAGCCGACATCGCCCAGCGCCCAGCACCCAGCGTCCGAAGACTTGCCCCACCTCTCTCCCTGTTCCCACCCCTTTCGCAAACTCTGGGTGGACCCTGGCACCTGTCAGGCCAATGCCAGGGCCGGTCGGCCCGCTCCCATCCAGGCCTCCGCTGCCACCACGTAGAGCCCCCACCCCTGCAGCAATGAGAAAGCGCTCAGAGCTGGGGGAAAAGGAGAAGGTTTGCGTTGCAGGCGTTAAAAACTCACAGCCACTCAAGTAGGACCCCCTTTTCAGTCCAGGATCTCACCTTCGCAAGGGAAAAACCCTGCGTCTCTGTTAACCGCCTCATCACCGGAAGGACCCAAGGAGAAGTCACAGCAGTGCCCAGCAATAGGCACCGCAGCCCACGGGGGGAGGGGGGTAGGATCTGGCTGCCAGCGTTGCGGGGGCCCTTCACGAGACACCCCCACACCCTCCCATGCACCCACCCGCATTCCCACCGGGAGAACCCGGGGAGAGCCTGAGGGGCTCGGTGGGAGAAGGGATGAGTACCAGAGAGCTTAGGGGCCATGGGCTGGGGAGAGGGACACCTGAAGGGAACACCGCCCCGCGGGAGCGGCCGGCAAGTGGCCGGCAAGGACAAGACCCCAGAAAGTCCTCTGCAGGATCCGAGAGCGCGAGCGCGAAGCGGGAGGGGAGGTTGGAAGGAAAAACGCCCGGAGGCTTCCTTACCTGATTTCCTCTTGGAACTGCCATAGTCCCTGAAAAAGAAGCAACAACAGACAGACATGGTTAGGGCCGGGCAGGGGCGCGGGGCTGCGGGGCTGCGGGGCGCCCACGGGCAGGCTGCAGACGGTCCCCGGCACCACTGCTCATGTGATCCTGGCTGCCCGCGAGCCGC